CAAAACGACCACTTGTCTGAGATGGTAATCTTTCTCCTCAACCTTCGTTGGTCGTCTTATACAGGTTTTACTGTATTAATTTACAAATGTGTTCTTTTTCTTGTTCAGATGATGAGTTTGAACTCCATAAGAGCCATGTTTGGAAGGTGGGCTATAGCTGTGGAGATGGACTCTCAGGGACATTTGTTGCGTTCTCTTCAGGACCCAAAAGGTTGGTTCTGTTGTTGCCGTTGTTGTAGTTGGGGTTTTTTTTGTTGTTGCCTCTTCTGTTGTTGTTGTTGATTTTTTTTGTTGGTTGCTTCTTCTGTTGTTGTTGTTGTTGTTGTTGTTGTTGTTGTTGTTGTTGGTGGTGGTGGTGTTCTTGTGGGGGCTCTCGTGGCCTAGAGGTTAAGGTGTTCGCCTCTCATTCTAAGGTCCCAGGTTCGAATCTGGGTAGCGACGGAAACATTTTTTCACCTTTAAAACAGTCTCCTTTGACCTTCTTTCCCGCTCTCCAGCAATGTTCTGTCGTCTGCTTTCGTCTCCATTTTCTGCCCCCACCCCATTACCTCCTTTGCCCCCTCCTTTGGGCTCCTGACTCTTTCTGTAGCCTTTCTACTGCTACTCCTTAGCTCCTTCTTTACTGCTGTCTTTCAGCCACACTCCTAATCTTCTGGTAAGAAAGATCTACTCGCCTTTTCGTACAAAGGCGAACAATCTTGGAGGTTCCATGTGCAAGTTGGGCCCTTGGTGGTCTAAATTCGATAAGAGTAGGCATCGGTCACCACCCGGGGCAAAATTCCAAATTTCCTGAAAACTGAAAATGTTTGATGTGTCCCGTGCGCTCATATGTGAAGCGAGCTGACAAAATGAGTTACTTCTCGGATTCAGGCCTTCAGGAAATAGATACATCACACTTATAGGTGAAGTTTTTACAGTTTATAAGTATGAAATAAAGTGTATCTTATACCTAAAGAATATGGCATCAATAGAAAATCTACAAATTTGACCCTAGTGTCGATTTTTAGCCAGTATCTCCATTTGTGGTCTGCGAGAAATAACTCATTTTACCAGCGCGCCTCACATAGGACCTAGTAGTTGGGAGCGCCGTAAAACCCTTACCAAAAAAAAAAAAAGATGTTGCTGTTGTTGTTTTTTGTTTCCTTAATGGGCCTGACGGACTTCACCAAGAAATCTTCGAGCGAGAGCGAGGCTCTTTTTTCGGCTCCATTGTCAATATGCTTAGCGGCACCTCCACTCGTCCAAATAACTCCATTCGAATTGCCATTGTTCGTGGACATTCAAACACATGTTTGATATCCTCCTTTTCATGGCCGCATCTTCGACAACATGGGCTGAGCTCTTCATTTACAAAGTTCTTACACCATCTTAAGCTCCGATGATGGTCGGACCGCAGTCTCGCTAGCTCAACCTGGTCCCAGCGACATGTGATAGACTTTTGTTCCCACTTATAGGAGTACCCAGAATGTTGCTGTTGTTGTTGTTGTTGTTGCTGTTGTTGTTGTTGCTGTTACTGTAGGTGGTTGGCGGGGGCCCTGGTGTTGTTT